CTCCTTCCAATATTTCGGTTACTAAAAACGGCCCTCTAAACTTAGGGTCTAGTTTTGTCTGATGACGCTCTTCGTTCTTAAGCAGGACGTGGTCACCAACTTTGTGTTTTACAATAATAGCCTTATCCTTATCAAATCTAGCCTTATCGTAATGGGCACTCTTTTCCATGTTTTGCTTAGCCATTTCTCTAACTTTGTCAACATCAACATCGTTCTTATTTTCGACAACAGGTACGAGACCAAATGGCCTTGCTTCTTTGCCAATAAGCATTTCTAAAGCGCTAACCTTAGTCACTCTATTGGTCGTACAATTAAGAGCCAGTTGAATTTCACACAAAGCATCCTGCCACGACCCCTGACCCGTTTCAACCGCCGTTAGCATGGACTTTAGAGTACTCATAACTCGTTCTACTTGGCCATTGGCCCGACTAGCACCCGTGGCGATTAAATGTAAATCTATCTTTTGTACAGAGCAGAAATCACGGAATGCTGAGCTAGAAAAACTACGTCCCTGATCTGCGATCAGACGGGAAGGGACGCCAAACAACGATATTAGTGATTTTAATGCCTTAATACAATTCTCCGTGTCTAGTCTCACTGTATGGGACAAAAAAACAAACTTGGTGAAGGCGTCTATTGACACGATTATGTACTCCTTCTGATCATTTTTACCACTAAGCTTCCCTGTGATGTCCATGTGGACTGTATGCCACGGGATGGTAACCTTCGGTATGGGATGCAATTCGGCTTGTACCCTACCAGATGGGGGCTTTGACAATCTGCATGTAATACAATTGTCGACAAATTTGCGAACGTACTTGGACATCTTGTCAAACCAATAGTATTCGTACATTTTCTCAAGGGTTTTTTCCCAACCAAGGTGCATAATGGACTCATGCACATTATTTACGGCTGACCACCTGAACGGCTTTGGGATGATAGGCAGACAACGAGTTTTCCCATTTCTTTGGATTTTCCTGTACAGCGTTCCTGCCCTTAATTCGTACGTTTTGGCCAAATCCTCAGAAAGATCATCGTTACGCAGTTTGGAAACAATGGACGACGTTTCTTCGTCTCGTTGCTGCTCAGCTAACAACCAATTGTCGGTAATCTCTGTCAAATTTATATGTTTTTCCACTGTACCTTTTGACTTGATGCGATCTTTTGATATGGGATTTCGAGACAGAAAATCCACGTGAGCCATTCGTTCGCCTGGCCTATACTGAATGTCAAACTCAAAAGATTGCATGTACGACCACCACCTATGGACTCTCGGAGTCAGTTCGGTTTTTGTTCGAGATGCCTTGAGCGAATTGCAATCGGTAAAAACGACAAAATGTCGACCATGCAAGTAGTGGCGAAAATGCTTAATAGAATTATAAACTGCAAGTGTTTCCAGCTCATAAGAATGGTAACGAGATTCCGCTGATGAAGTCCGTTTACTGAAGTATTCGATAACTCTTGGCTTGTGTTCGATTTTGTGCAATAAAATTGCGCCATACCCGTCAGCACTCGCATCTGTATGAAGCTCAATAGGAAATTGTGGATCGAAGATAGTAAGAACAGGTTCACTGGTCAGGATAGAAATTACTTTCTGTCGTATTTGCTCGTGCTCCGATTCCCATAAAAATGACATACTTTTTGAAGTAAGAGCATAGAGGGGTTTTAGTAACTGTGAAAATTTGGGTACGAATTGACGAAAATACGAGACCAGTCCTATAAATTGTCTCAGTTGAGTTACAGATTGCGGAGGCGGCAAATCTATAAGAGCTTGTATTTTCCTAGGATTCGGACGAATTTCACCTGCTCTAACTTCGAAGCCCAAATATTCGACACAAGATTTAAGAAAGGAACATTTTTTTAAGTTGAAAGAAAATCCTGCTTCAGCGAGTGCTTGTAAAGTAATTTGTAGTCTATTGAAAGCTTCCTCCTTTGTTCGTGCAACTACCATTACATCGTCCATGTAAACAATGGCATATGTATAAGTCAGATCACCTAGGGCACGATTAATAGCCCTTTGGAATACAGAAGGCGCATTTTTAAGCCCGAAGGGCATTGCCAAGTATTCGTACTGCCCTTCTGGAGTTACAAACGCCGTCCGTTCAATAGAGCTTTCATGTATTGGGATCTGATGGAAGCCGCTCGCCATATCAATACACGTGAAAAACTTAGCACCACTCAACCTAGCTATCTGATCAGATATGAGTGGCAAGGGGTACTTGTCGGAAATAGTATTGGCATTAAGCTCCCGATAATCGACACAAAGACGGTCTGTACCATTTTTCTTACGGACAAGTAACATCGGACTCGCGAAAGGAGAGGAACTGGGCCTTATTATGTTTGCATCCAACAGCTCTTGAATGGAATGTCTAACCTTTTCTTTTTCTTCCACACTCAATCGGTAAGGGCGCCTCTGAACCGTCTTATTTTGATCAATCAAGCGAATCTCTAGCTGTCCCGTAGTCACGCGGCTCTGTGGGATACCGTTTATGAACGAATTTGAATACCCCTGTAATATTGATAGCAGTTTATCTTTGTCTTGTCCATGCAAATCGGTATCAATATCAGCCAGGTCAGGAGTGAATTCGGAAACTACGACAGGTAATACAGACCTTGTGTTAAACATAGTAAGCGCGCTTGATGTAATTGTTACGCCGATGCCCTGACTCAAAATTTCCCGACCAATCAGAGCGTCGTATTTGATACAATTATCTAAAACTGCGTGAAATAAGATTTCAAAAGAACGCTCACAAATTAAAACATTTGCCAATATCTGTAAAGTGCTGCTAACAGAGTTGCCACCTATACCCCTCAATCTCACTACGTTGTTTATTCTAGTGCCGGATAATCTCAGTGCTGCAGTCTCTTTGATAAGTGAGCACTCGGCTCCAGAGTCGAAGTAAAATTGGAACGACTCACCAAACTGCAGCAACGTTCCTAAGGGCTCAAGTACGGTGCAGATGTTCACGTCTTTGATGGTATTACTCTTGATTGGCGGACGCTCCTGACGATCCGGGCACACAGTAGATACATGTCCAGCTTTTCCACATTTGTAACAGATCACGGACGATCGATCTTTTGCTCCAATATATCCAGATTGTTGATTACGGAGCTGCTGACGCTGAATTGTCTCTTTGTTAAAGCGACATTCCGCCTTCTTGTGGCCGGGTTTACCACAGTTATGACACGTGATGTGAGACATAGCCCTGGCTCTTTTTCCTTGTGGTGCTGAGAAGTTGTCACTCAAATGCTGGCTCTGTCTGGCGTCAAACGAAAAGGCTTTGAGCTCCTGATGCAACTCGTTTCGGGTTTTGATGTCCGTCGTAAAAACCAAACGGCGCAATCGTTTGTCTATCCCAGCTGCATGTGCCAACGTAACGGATACTGCAATCTGCTCGACGCTGAGTGACTTCCAGCGGGCCATAAGCGAAGTGACCATTCTGCTCCCATACAGCGACAAACACTCTCCTTCGTTTGGGCGTGCATTTAGCAAATTCATAACGGTTGCGGCCAAAGTCTCCGTTCCAGAAAAATATTGCAAAAATAATTCTCGGAACTGCGTCCATGTAATACCGGGAAAACATGTCTGCGAGAGCCAGTGAGATGCGGTGCCTTCCAGTGATCTGCTGAGGGCCATTACAAGAGCGCTGCCCACTCGTTGGTTTTCAGACAAGATGTAGTCGACTGTTGAACACCAGGACAGAGCGTCTGATCCCACACGATCGGGGTTAAACTTTGGCAGTACAAGGTTTTTGGCATCTTTTGGCTCATTTTGAGAGCACTGCACTTGTTTTATTAGTTCAGCGAAATTACGATTTTGCAACTCCAAAATTGACAAAAGATGTGCATCATTAGCTGGAGGCGGAGGTAATCCCACTTCTGATGACGAAGATTCATTTCCATCAGAATCTTCAGCTGGACTTTCGGCGAAACGTTTTTTGGCACGTGGCATGTTCAAATTCTTTATCCAGACTGATTTCACAACTCCTGTCCGCGTCTTTTCAATTCCTCTTCATTTTCTAATACACACGCACAGTGTGGTGAATTATGACATACACTATCTGTATCACTCATGCCCACGGCCAAACTACGTTGACAGAACTATATATCTGCCTCGCACGAAAGAATGGAGAAACAGTAAGAAACAAAACAATGATGTACCAACAAATAATAATTATAATTTTAATATTCAAAATAATCTGCGACATATACTTTATGGGGTCTGAGGTGTCTCCTTCACTGCGTTGCAAACTTCTGACTGAAATTATAATACCCTTTTGCTCTGCAAGGGTATAAAAATTAATCGTGATAGCTTAGATGTTGCTTAGCCTTTAGGTATTTGATGACGGCAAGGGTATACATATAAGTTTTGGCTTGCCGAAGATAGCTTCCATTCTTGTTGTTCATTATACCAATATTCACCGCTCCGGAAAATAATTATTTTCTCGACTTTTAAACAATATCTTTTGATCGGTGTTAGGCAGTTTTTCAATGTTACTGTGTATAATATTCGCATGCCTACTTGGTGGATGGCCCGTTTTACAATATACACAGCAGACAGAAGCATAAGCAGCTTAAAATTTGAGTACGGTTCGAGCATAATTAACAGCCAAATGAGATTTATTCGATAGCCGTACAATCATACATCAACGAATTCAATTTGTGGCCACAGAGTTAATCGTGAATGTTAAATGACAGATCAAATGTTGTAGACTAATTTGGCCACGCCACAGTTTCCGACATCGGGTCGCAAGTAATTTAATTTGAATAAATTTAAAATGTGACAATTACGTGAGTGTAATTACGTTTTGGTCGCTGGGAGGCCGTAAAGGTTGCACTGCTCATGGGCTTGTAAGCTCTGTCCAAATGTTTACCTCCTGCGATTGAGGTCAAAGACATTCGACAGGTCGCATCTGCTCAAATAGAAGCGCAGCCAGCCGAGGCCTATAAATACGCATCGATCGATCAGTATGGCAGCTTCCCCGCTTCATCTCGCAATCATGGATGTCTCCGTGCTCTGGCTCTACCTGCTCCTAGTGTCCGTCCTGCTCCTTTTCTTGGTGCCGACAGCCGAGTCTACTTTGCTCCTGTGGGCCTGCATATACCGACTAGAGATCTGCCCTTTTAAGACCACCACCACAGGCACATAAATGTGCAAGTGATTGAATTTCATACCCGGTGAACAGCAATATCAATAAACCAAAAATAAATGGAAACCATTTAGGACTCTCCAGTATACACTCATAAATAACTACATTTCTAATTCTAAACAGGAATTTTGCCGATTAACTGCGTTCAGACATGTCTTTTTTTCCAGTTCATTTTTCCTAAGCCAATTTCACTGAGTTGTGAAAAACAACTATTTCATTTATGCAACTTACTTTTTAAGAAAAGTTCGTACACTTTTAAGAGTTATTTTGAATGTCAGTACAGGTATGTACAGGTATTTATACCGCTGATGTTGGCTACAACAGCATTGAAAACGCAAAAGAGTTGCAATTTTTTTTGTTAAATTTCTGAAACTTTTTTTTTATTAATATACTGACACTCATGAGTCATGAGGTTCTTCGTCCGCAGAAACAGAAGACGGCTTCCCGCCTTTCAATCCCCCTTTGCGTTCTGCTCGGCTTGCTGCTTGAGTGAGAGCCGAAGTTATCCGGCAAGTGCAAAGTTTGTCATTAGTTACTTGCACTAATTAAGTGTAAAGCCCTCTCAGCAGTGGCTTTCACTTTCGCCGCTGTCAGTACGTGTCTTGGTTGCGTAATACCATAGCCAAACTCACACCTTGACACGCTCTTTTCGGGTCATTTGAGGGAGGTGGCAAGCAGGCAAACGGGCCTTGGGTCAGAATACGAGCATTGAATTTGTTTACCCCTGAACCTGAGAAGGAAAATTCGAACAACGTTAAAAACTAAAAAGTAACCTGGTGGAGCCCTAATTGACGCTTTACAGAGAATACATCTTCTTACGAATGTGTATGGTTTATTGATTATTTTTTTTGGTTTTCTCTGATGAAAGGGGTTGCAAAACCTGCACTCATTATGCATCAAAAATTTATTGGGAAATTCCTGCAATATTTTTAATTTGAATAAATAAATAATGAATAAATATATGTATTTAAGTAAATATAGGTATATACAGTAAACATATATAATACATTCTTCCACCAGGTTACTTTTTAGTTTTTAATTTGTTTGTAGGTATTTTGATTATATATTTATTTATTATAACATAAACTTACTAGCAAATAAAATTGTCTGTTATCGGCCAACTAATTTTGAACGATTATCTCAAGATAAGTTTATCTTAAGCCGTAAAGTAGTTTAGAAAGAAATACATTTTTTTATTTACATTAACTCTGTATAAGAGCGATTCCCATGAATATACATATGTGAACATTAGCCAATCGGAATTTCGTTGCCAGTTGAAATTTTTGCAGGCCGTCTATGTAAATTACTCAATTTTCATCAGCGGCAGCTAAAAAATGTGTGCAATTCGCATACGAATCAAAGGAAACCGCAGGCTGTTTGTCGTTGGAACCTTGCCTGCCCAACCTACGAGGGGAGGGGCCATTCATTATGGTAAATGAAAATTAAATTTACAAAACGCTAGACTCCCCAGGCGATTTTCTTTTAGTGTGAAAGAGGAGCGAAGCGAAAATCAATAAATGCTGGGAACGTAAACTGTACACATTGGAGGATGGATGGATTCTCCGACCCCCTCTTGATTGTCCTCAGAGGAAGCTGAACGAGGCATGCCAATTGGCATTTAATTAGCATAGGGCAGGGAATAACAAAATGCAGGCCAACGATGGACAGGAAACCCAGGTCCCAACGACCTAACAAAAATGGAATTTAAGCCATAGACCGCAAACCGATTTGGATCGGAAGGGGAAGGAACATAGAGTACAAAAGCCAACCAACAAACAGCAGCAAACACGAGGCAGTCAGGTGAACAAAAAGTGCGAGTGAAGTTCGGCCCAGAAAAGCGTGGTTTTGGGGTTATAACTTAGGATTTTAAGTCATCAAGTTTAATGTCCACTGAATGTATGTTTAGATCTGTTAAATCATTGTTAACAAATAGGAAGATATACGAGAACACCCAGTCACACCCATATACTAGTATACCATTTAAAAAGTAAACGCATGCTTTGATGGGACGGTAAATAAGAAGCCTAAGGCGAAACTGGGCTCCAAGCAATACTAAAAGCAATATATCATTTAAAGTGACTTGAGATGTCAATTCTGAAATAGAGCTAACGGGCTTAGTACAAATGAATTTAATTTGAACTCTCTATTCGACTTCGCAACATGAACTGTTTTCGAGTGGGCTTTCCCATTCATGGTTTTCCAATTTCGGGGTGACAATAGAGGGAAATCGACGTTAAGTCAACTTTAAGTGTTTGAAAAGGTGTAAAAATCCAAAGTGTGCAGTAGCAACATGCTTGGGGCGCCACAATGTTGCAAGCTGTCATCGTCAAGCTGTGTCAAAGTTTCCGCAGCACTCTCCAAACGACTTTTTGCTTGTCTTGCCATCCAAAGCCAGACTAGAAGTCAGTGGGGTGGTGCACTCGGGGGAGAACTCACGCGTGTGCAAAACCAGAAGGCAGGGGCGTGCGAGAGGGGACGGCCACCTCGGCCCCCCGACCTCTGTTTGACTTCCCCGGACTGTAATTCAAATTTACTGCGCGCAAACAGCGGGGAGATGGCAATTAATTAAATATCACTCATACGTCAGGTAGTGAGCGGCCGTAAGTTGGCCAAACAATCGCGGCGAGCACGTGGGCCCACCGTGCGAATGCGTAATGGGAATGAAGCGTGTCCAAATTGAAGCACGCTTCGCGGGCGTTTTTCGAGCGAATTTAAACCCGCATCTGATTGAGTTGCGGCAATCGAAATAGAAACGAACTCGTATTTTTTCCGCCTTGCCAAAATCCAACGACTTACAGATTTCTCACTAAAATAGCATTTAAGGGGCACAACTAGTGTGACATTTCAAAAAAATCTTTTTTTTTCTTCTTTCATATTTCGGTAGATTACACCTTTAAAAATAACATATTAAAATTTCAAATCGATATCTTAAATAGTTTTTGAGTTATAGCAATTTTAAGAGCAGCCGCTCGTATAGCAGTGAATACGATCATTTTATCTTTAAACGCGTTTTTCTCGAAACTGCATTTTCCGAATTTGCTGCAGTGATAACTCAAAAACTAATGATCCGATCACTATGAAATTTTTTTTAGATGTTCTATATATAGTCCTCCCTACAATGACCTATCGGTTTTTTGATCCGATCAAAAATCGAATTTTGGCAGGCCAAAAACGACCAAAATTTTGGGTAAAATTCGATTTTTTTTTTTTACAACGCTGCCATTTTGTCAATTTTTGATATTTTTTTTTTATCGTAGGTCATTGTATGGACAATATCTACTAGTTTAACGAGAATTTTTCATTTTTTGATTTCATCCACGGAGAAGGCCGGAATCACTGCAGCAGTTGGGGCACTTTTTTTTTTTAGCGCCGTTGGAGATCGGCTCTAGCTTAAAAAATATTTAATTTTTTTCTTTAAAAATTTTTCTGTATATTCTTCAAACATGTATAAATATATTCTGAAAATTTGAAAAGAATTGATCAAGTAGTTTTTTTTATAAAAATTCCCAAAAATCACCATTTTTTTAGGCCGTCACACTAGTTTTGCCCCTTAAGGGAGCAAGAAAAAGAAGAGGAATGCTAAATATCAGAAGGTTTCTTTCAAATGTAATTACATCTTAGAACTCATTCTATACACCGGCATAGATCTGTTATCATGATCTAATGTATTTTCAATGCATTATCATATTTATTGGGTGTGGGAGGGCATAGCGCAGATAAGTAACACTTTTATCCAGACGAGGTGGTGTTGAACGGACAATATGGAGACCCCAGCAGGCACGCCAGCAGGATGAAGCAGCCCTCCGCAGAGGGGGACAGGAACACCATGAGGATGGCCAGAAGCACCAGGTAAAAGCACACCGTTGTGGCAATCATATTGCAATTTGCGATTCAACTCAAGGGCCGAGAGGCCCCAGTCCTGCTTTTATATATCGGCCCAAGTAAAGCCCCTCGGTCGGAGTCGTAATGGCAGCTGTCTAATGGCAAACAACTTCGAGTTGTTGATCTTAGCTTGATCAGTGTTTTCTAATTGTGAGTTTTATTTGCTGAAGTCACATATTTGAAGGGTTATTCTTGGTTTCACTTGCCGTGTACTTATTGGACTTTCACATAACCATGTTTGGCTAGAGTGAGTCGAAACGCAGTGAAATGAAGTACAAATTATTAATTAAGTTCTGTTCGCAGTTGGATACTTTCCCGAGAATCCGCTGCGAATCCGTTAGCTGAATCCAGTCAACTGAAATCTTCCCACTCTCGGCTGAGCGGTATGCCAAACAAAGGCCGAAATAGCTACTATAAATAAATAGTAATCATGGGAAATAAGCAGACGACGCGTGTACAGCAAGGCATTTGTGAAAAAGTAATTTCCATTGAGAGCCTGAATGTGCGCGCACTCATGAATGAACTTTGCCGAGGAGCACCAGCAACAGATGGCTGCCGAAATGAGCGAAAAGTTTTGGCCACCTACAAGTGGAATTCACAAGGCATCCGCCGCAGTGCTTGTCTTCAAACGGAGCACATGCGCACTTTCACGCACGTGGTGGACCCTGTTCGAAATTGAGGCGGATTGAATTTGGCGCACTTTTCAGACGCCGTGGGCTGCTGTGGATCCCGTTGGAGTCGCAGACCTTGGCGCCGGTTCCGCCGACTTGGCCAAGTTAGTCCTGTGCTCGGATTCAGCTGAAACGGTCGAGGTCGCTTGTTCGCTGCGCCAACAATTCCGTCTCCCAGTCATCAAACGGAAATTCAAATCCCGAGTTTGAACCAAACAACCCGCATTCCGAACTCGCCAATGGCCAAATTCTCATTTGAAGCGCGCTGACCGTCGGTCATTTCGCTGGTCGCTCTATCACGCAAATAGTTTCCCCTTGCTGGGAACAGTGCCAAATATTTGTAGAAAATTGTGTGAAGGGCAGCTGCCCCTGCTTTTGATTTGCAAACAAACATATCCGAGACGAGTGCTAAAAAAACAGAACAATTGCAGTTGACTGGCATAAAGTGCTCCCAACCGTTTGCTTAATTCTTTCGAATTGTTTTCAATAGAGCGGAGAAAGGAATCCCCTTTTGGTGAGTGTTTGGGATTACAGAAATATCTATAGGTTTCAGTGAGATTTAAAAGATCGTTTTGTCGAAAACTTTCCAAGGGTGACTTGCCAATCTAAGCAAATTGGGTATTATTATATTCCGTATCCTGTCGTCAACTCTGAATACAGCTATTTTTAGAACACTTCCATTAACCCTCTCCTCGCAAAATAAATTTCCCAACTCTTTCCACCATGTTACGCGGCGCTTCCATAAACGCCGACAGAATGTTAAAAGTTATATTGCTGTCAGGCCCGAAGAAATTTTAAATTATTTATTTTCTTATGAGGAAAACAAAAACTCGTTCTTCGAATGCGAAAAAGTTTGACGAAATTAATTAAATTACGACTCAACGTGTCGTTATTTGGGGGTAATTAAGCAAGGTTAGAGTCCCATTCTTATTGGAATTGCCTTTTTGTCATTAAGGTCCAAAAAATACAAATCGGGCCCTAACTTAAAACATTTAATTACATCCCTAATCAATTTATAACTAATGAGCCTTCTCTGCGGATTTGAAGCCCAGTTTTGGTATCAAATTATTCCATAATTTAGGAAAGATAGCGATGGGATATCCTCATCTTCCGTTTCCAGAGCCGTGTTTTCAGGGGAGACAACGGAAGTTATTGAGTCCCTCATTTGGTCCTCGTGCTCTACAGTTTTCTTTATTAGGCCAGCGGGGTCTCGAATCTAATTAGCTGAGGACGGTCTCGGACGGACCCAGACCTAAAGGCAAACCAGAAAATTAGAGGCGGTCTTTCGAAGACCCCTCACTCTGCCGCTTTTCTCCGCTTGGAACAAGGAAACAAGATTTTTATGTACCAGGAGATAAACCTTCTGAGGGAGGGGAGTACTTGCGACATCGAGAAATCCCTAGTTTTCGTTCGTGTCACTGTCACATCAGCTGGATGAGTTTTCGGGTGATCGGAGTGGCTGCCGGCGGAAAATTAGCATACTCGTTAGTCAATCCGTCAGCCGAGTTTACAGGCGGGACGTGACAGGGCCACCTCGACAGAGATCAGATCAAAATCGTCACTCACCTGAAATGTAACCAGACTTTGGTCGACGGGCGGATGAACGAGTGATTAGGCAGCGCAATCAGTGGCGCAGACCTCAGCCAGATATCCAGACCCAAACTCATAAATTTTTCTCATTAATGCGAATGTTTTGTGTAATAATTTGTTGGTGGCGCCACAATGAAAGTTATCACCCATACGCCACGTTGCAGGGTCGCGCCTGAAAAAGTTTCCCGGAAGCTGCAGAGTCCGGGGTCCGACTATCTGCTACCCTGAAAGCTAACGCATGCCTCCCCACAGTTATGGATCCATAATCCTTTTCAGCTCCAATCGCTCCCGAGCAACCTCACCTTTCGGTGCCAGAAAAGTTTTGCGGTTAATAAAATTGAAACAGCGCGCGAAACACACAACGCGTGTGCGTAATGTGCCCGCAGGGGCAAATTTGTTTACCGCCTGCACTTGACTATCATATGATTAGAGCGTTTTCGGAATGGCAGCTGTGGGTGGCACGTTTTCCCATATTTGACAAAATACTGTGTGGTTGCGGCGCTCTGAGCGCATGTGGGACTTTAAAGTTGCCCATGGCAGATGTCAGCTTCTGGCCACATCCTCTTTGATGACAGATGCAAACATTACGGTCATCCCACATCCGTCCGACTTCCTGTCCCTTTGCACTGCGACGATTGAGTGGATTTCTGTTGGTTTTAATGGATTGCATGATGCAAGTATGCATTACTGCATATGATTTTAAGGCCCGCTTAACGGGCGGATTCAAAATGTGATAAGTGCCGGGGGCAGAGAGCATTTATGTGGCTGGCTGTGCCAACTTTCGTCTTTATGGATAAAGTTTCTTTGATTTGGAGTATTAATGACGGCAAGGGAATTTTTACTAGCAGTGTGTGGCAACAATTTGCATGGCAACTTCTCTCACCCGCGGCCATCGGTGGTAACCTAGGGTAGTTTGTCTGTGTTGCGGCTGTTAATACAAGTTTTTTGAACTTTTCGTATTCGTTTTCGTTTTCATTTTTTTTATTTAATTGCCTACAAATTGCGAGCAAATTGGGTGGGGCGCAGCTTTGTACGATGCCAGCAATTTGTACCTGGCTTATTAGGTGTCGGCAGACGACTTCTCGACTTCCACGATTTTCAATCTCACGCCGAGTAAGTAATAATAAATTATATTTATTTACGAGAATGTCAATGCGACCCCACAAAATGGATATTTATGTGTGTACACTGCCATTTATTGTTTTTTTGGGATCCAAATTGCTGCTGGCTTAAAGGTTGTGCCCCCTGCCCCATATATTCCTGCGTAATTTATTGATGAGAACATTAAATGCTGGCAACATTCCAATCTTCTTATTGAGTTTTTGTTCTGCGTTTCGCTTCCTAAGCTCTTAGAACTAAATGACAAGTTTCCTTTAATGCCGTTTCCACGGATGCGCTGCCTTGAATGGGTCCTTTTAAATTGTTCTTTTAATTTGACTTTTTCCCCATGTGGACGCTGTTCAAATCAGCTATCAGCGCCTTTAAAGCTGGCCTGATCATTTTGTTTTTTTCAAGGCACGGCAGAATTAATTTGATATATAAAACTGATTAATGTCCGCGCTGGTTATTAATGACCATAAGGCAGCGGAGGGCCACGGCTAGGCTCCTGCCCCTCCTCGAATTGCGGGGAAGATGATTCCGAGTCCCAGTCCCAGTCCCAGTTTCAGTTCCAACATAATTAGGGCTGTGTTCCCGCAGCTCTTAGTTGGCCATTAACTGATGAATATGCAACAGAGCCGCTTGGTGCGAATGTCTCATCCATTCCGCAAATGAATTCCATAAAGTGGTCATTAGCTGGACTCACCTTTCGCCCAGAATCTCGGACTCTCAACCAGTTAACATCCCTTGCGGCTCGAGGCCGCATTTATCTTGCTGGCCTCCATTCAAATGGATTTCTGCTGGTGCAAATCTTTGACAGCTGTTCGAACCCCGTCTTTGAGTGTCATTTGGCTGCAGCTTGCTGACACAGAATGGAATTCAATTACCGCTCCAGTCAGCCGTGCAGATGGTGAGCAAGCAGGGCATAAATAGGATATTAAATAAGTGAAGGAGATAAGCGTGGGAAGCGCCGGGCAGAATTCGATCTGACGAGCCGTCAATTCCTGACACTCGACACATGTTCAATGAGCAGCGGAGCTCGTTGACGCGTGCGGCATCGCCTACCAGGTGAAAGGAGTCGCTGACAGGAATCCATTCGTCCCGGCGCGGCGGCAGGACTCACCTGCCTCATAAGAAGGTATTACTCATTTCCTGCTGCCTTCCCCCGACCGGTTCTAACTGTATTTGGTGCTTGATAAATGATAGCGCGGCAGCTCTGCAATCATCGACTGCGGCTTCTATGCGTCGTCTACTAATGCTCTAAATTTGACTGAGTCTGTAGACCCGAATGATTTATTGAAGCCACTAATTCACTTCGAGACTTTGAATGTTTTTGCAAATGCTGTCACATCGGCCCAACTAGTTGAGGAACGATGATGATGATGGAATTTTGATTGACTGCACGCAAGAGAAGTAACTCCTCCTGGTTACAAAAGCGTCCCACCTATTATTTGCTCAGGTCAGTTGGACCAGGTCGGAAATCAGATTCCCTCCTCCCTGCTCCAGTGTCCGAGCGGGAACCCAGGGACTGGGCCAGCTACCCTTCCGTTGGTGCACATCCGCTTGGCCCCTTGTACCCGAGGATTGACTGGAGTCATTTATCATAAAATCGTTCTCCGTGTCACTCCCTTCCCAATCCTTCTGTGGCTCACTGGACACGGACCACAGGCGGCCATAAATAATCCCGGGGAGCTGTTAAAGAAAGACGTTTGTATCCTGTATCTTTTATTCTCTTCGTGTTCCGCACATTGGCTCCACCTCCTTTCAGGGAAAAATTGTGCTTCGCCTTCGTCCTTTCAGCTAGCAAATAATGCTGTTGCAGGGGAGTGCAAATGAAAGAAGAAATCGAGTAAAAGAGCAAATGCTTCATTTGCATAGGGATTCCGGTTTAAATTCAATGAAGGTGACCTACGGTTCCTATTGTGTGGGCTAACGTAATTTCCATTAACTGTTGCGAAAAGTGTTTTAATTTCCCCAAGCTCACTTGGCCCCTTCTTCCTCTACTCTGCTGCCGGCTAATTTATTTTGGGCTGACCAAAAGAGACTTCAGGAAAGCCACAAACCACAACCTGCTGGGTCCCCGAATCGAATTTTCCTCCTGTGTGTAAACACGTTAGTGACAAGTGCGGGGATGGCCATATGTTCAGCTCCAGCAGGCAGCTCGTATAATTAGGTAGGACACTTTTTCTCCGGTAGTCGTAAAGTAGAAGAGTAAATTGTATACGTACATTAAAGAAATAATGCCCCCATGGAGAGAGGCAATAAAATATTCCTTTCCCCGATTGGGTAAAGATAACTTATATATGTTTGTGCCAAGTCAAAAGTTGTTTATATACTTTTGGTTCTAAAGCCGTTAAAAATCGCAAATTCGACTTAATTGAATTACTATTCGTGTTTTCCATAAAATGGTTTTCCACATTGGGTGTTTGTTTAATGTTTCAACGATGTTTAAACTCTATATATCATTTTAAGCCGTCGCTAAATTTCTTCAAAAGCTAAAATAGGAAGACCAACAATTTCAGCTCCAGCAAAATAAATGTTTTCCCGGGATCTGTCTCAGATGCTTTTTAAAGATGTTCTGCCAAATTGTATTGTTTTGAGTCCCCCGACCCATCCCAACATCTACTCTTTCTTCCCCTTTCTTTGTTTGTATTTCTATTTTGGTGGATGGGACTTTATCGCGAAGACTCAATGGCTCCGGCATCCGCATGCACTTAATGTGTGTGCGTGCCAACACCTGTGATGTATGGCTCCCATGGGGGCAACTTGTCATAGTTAAACAATTTGTAATGAATTTTCTAGTGAGTGTCTGGAACGGAAGGCTTCGTTCTAGTGCGGAAGCTGGCCAAGGGGGATGCAAATCATCACGGAAAAGGCCAACCACCGCCCCAACGACAGCGAAAAGAAGAATTCAGAGCTATTAGATTATTAATCTGTGAGTGAAACATCTCGAGATAAGTAGCCAGATCGCTGCAGCTTCATGACCATTAGACGATCTGACACTAAGCAAGGCAATTCACCATAAACAGTTTTCAACAATAAACAACTCGGGGAATGGACATTGATGCCCGGCCGGGAAGGCAAATATTTATAAACACTATATTTGGATAGGGCTGACTCCTGGCCAAATGGCTGCCATCGACCACATGAAATCAATTAAAATATTTGGCCAACTGCTTGCTGCACATAAAACAGCGTTGAGGGGGAAGCTCGGGCCATTATAGTAAAAAGTAATTGAAAGTACCCCGAGATGCGACTATAAAAGTTGCGTATCTGCCGCGTGGCACATGCAGATTCGAGCAGGGAGGGATAAAAAACGAACCGCTGACTGTGGGAATATCGACGATAATTGAAAATTATCCAAATAATGAAAATACATATTCGGAAATGAAGTACTTTGGCCGCAGCTCTTGTTTATTTCGAGAGCAATCACGCGCCAAGGAAAAGCAAAACAAAGCAAAAGCCAACAACCAAAAGCTCCAATCAGTGAGCCAGTGGGCCAGTGAGTCGTCGAAGGGGCATTTGCCCAGCTGTCCATCACATGGCCGATGGAATGCTCGCTAGTCGAACGCAAGTAAAAATTAATTAAAATACTCAACGGCTTGGGTTTCCCAGCCCGCAAACTGCGAGTACGCATCCACTTTTTGATTTTCACTCAGTTTCATGGTCGCGCCAGTCGAGCGGAGAGCGAGCATATCAAATATTTGCCAAATAATTAATCATGCCACTTTGTGGCCCGAAATCTCTGACGGAGCCGCGCGAACTGCCGTCGTCAGCCTACGTCAGTCTCAGTTAGCCCAGAACCCGGGCAGTCCGCCTGCGGGCCACTGATAAAGGCACACAGCTCCATCATCGCGCCCGCTGGAAGCTGACGGCCGGCTGCCCAGATTACGATAAATTTTTAAATAACGGCGACAGCTGAAGTTGTCTACACGCCTCGCTGACTGACGGCCCCACCGGGCCCAGAGCTCCTTGAACAGGAAGTGGGGCAGGTAGCCGCCGGGCCCCTTGTTCCGCATTAGGAGCCTGTCCGTCGATTAGTCAGCACCAGGCCGAAATTAACGTAATCAATTACTGCCCACACAGCTGTCCCACCACATACCCACTTCCAGGCGGGCTCTGCTCATAAATCAGTTTATTCTGCCCCGTCAGCGAGCCTGCGTGCTTGGGGAGACCTCGCAGGTGGGCAAGTACAGAAACTCGCTGTCCGTCCAGAAGTCCACCACCGTGAGCGGCTGCGGCCTGGCGTCCAGGTGCTGCAGACACTTGGCGAAGAGCTGGCCCTGCCGCACGTGCCGCATGTGCCCGGCGGCCACCTCCGACATGAGCCGGTCCACCGAAGAGTCCCGCCCGCTGGCACCCCGCGCGGGAACCGCGCGCATGAGCAGTTTGTGTGACTTGGCGGCGTCCACGTCCACGAGCACGGTGCTGCTGCCCCGCAGGTTGTAGACACTCCGGTTGGGCACGCCGTCCACGAAGAAGTCGAAGTGGTCCACGCTGTCCAGGTCGTGGGTGAACCACTGCAGGGCCAGTGAGCCGCCGTCCAGCCGCGTCGCTCCGCAGATGCTCACCGGGAAGCTGACCCGCGGCGAGGGACGTCGCCGGATGCCGTGCAGGTCGTCGTGGACCCGGCTGCGCACCTCCGACAATGCGCAGAGGTCCATGAAGAAGTTTTTGGCCAGCAACTTGGCTTCCAATTGCTTCTGTCCCTCCGGCGACTGAAAGAATTTGGCCCTCTTCACCGCCCGCCGCATGTCCAGACAGTGGTGGCACTTGCACTGCTCCTGGTAGGTCACGCAGGCGCTGGAGGCGTCCTCGACCTCCCCACCGGTGCCCTCTGCTGGCTGGCTGGTTTCCGCCTCCTCGGGGCTGACCAGGGCAAACGCGTGCTCTGCCTTGAGGGCGAGGTTCTCACTAACCTGCAGCGGACCCCCGGAAGCGCTGGCTCGGGACCCTGAGCGGGATCGTGATTGGGAGCGGGAACGGGAACGGGAGCGAGTGCGGGTGCGGGTGCTCCTAAGTGAACCACGGCGGGAACTCGTCCTTGACTGGATGGATCTGGGTGTTTGATCACCCCCCGACTTGGCCAGCATCCCTGAGTTCCGCCTTGAGCCAGAAACGGAACTACCCGACTTCCTCGTAGTCACTTTGGCAGATGGACCGCTTGAGCCTTGGCTGCTTCTCCGCCTCGAGTTCCTCGGTCGCTCTCCCTCGGAGTTTGGCACTGAAGCACTAACTAGGGCAAAAACGTGTTCCGCCGGCAGTGCCAGATCTTTTCGCGGTGACATCCTGGGCGTCCTTCGGGGTGAACCGGCGGTGGACGACCTAAGTTTTTGTCGGGGAGATCTACTGCTCGAGCGGTTTTTCGAAATGGAGCGCCTTGCCAAAACAGACGACTCCACCTCAAGTTTTCTATCAGACCGCAGCTCGAGCGTACTGTGCTTACTGGACTGTTTGCTCCCCGAAAGTTGCCCCGCTCCTCCAACGCTGGCCAGGTCAGACCTTTGCGTCTTCGGGGGTCTGCCAGGAACTATCTGTCCGGTAGCCAGGCTCCTCAGTGGGGGTGTATCCCGTCAGCGGGGTGATGTCGGAGAGCAGGCTCGTGATGTCGTATTTCGCAGCGTTGAAGGTGTTCTTTGAGCGGATAGTGGGCGAAGTCCACTGCGAGCTGCTGGGAACAGTGGGCTGGGCCGAAGTATCGGACAGAAGCGTGTCGTTGGACTTGCTAAGATAGGGGTTTTCCCTCTTCACAGCCTGGGAGGAGGCCGCGGATGATAGTGAGGGCTTGGGGTTCGGCAGGGCGCCCCCACCGCTTTTAATGAACTTGTGGAAGAGCCGCTTCACGGACGTAAAGGACTCACCTGCCCTGACCAAGTCCACTGTGCTCCTAAGGAACTGCTTGATCGAGGTGCTGGCCGATTCCAAATTAACCGATTGCTGCGAAGGCGGCGAATCAGTCAGCACCAAGGCACTGTGTTCTGGGGTGGCTGCCGCCTCCGTGCTCGATGATCTCTCCTGGCCGAGTAGGTTCAGGGAGCTGTCGCTATTGCTGGTAATGGTCCGCTGACTGGAGGTCATGGAGGTGCGGCTGCTCTGCGGGCTGACAACAACAAACACGGGGGGGACTTGGTCCGATCGAGGAATGGAGCCGCTCTTGATGGAACTCTTGACGACGGCTGGCCTCGGGGCCTTCCGGCTGCCAGAAGGAGCTGGAGGCATCTCCTCGGGCAACACGATGCTCACCCTCTTGGACATACTTACAATTTAACAGAGCAATGAACAGCGACTTAAGAAACTTTTGGGGGACCTTATTGGGGAAGTGTACCGAACGAAACATAAAGTGTGTGTAGGCATTCGCCCAAATGCCATCTAACGCAAGGGCGACTTTTCCCAGCAGCCGGCCCCAGGCTAATGCTCCTCAAAATGCAGGAGCAGGTCCTGCATTCAATCATCTTCAATGACGACTAATGCCCCGACCTCCGGGCGAGGGGGATGTTCATCCGTGACTTGCCTCTGTCATCGCAAGATACTGGGAGAGGGTCTGAGCGGCGATTGCGCATAATTTTGCCGGTGTTTGTCGCGTCGAGTGGGCGGGGCAAATTTGCATAGCTCGCGGACCTTTCAGCCCACATTAAATTTGGCCAGGGCCAGCGTTCGAGGCCTTCCGGGCACACCAGATACTTCTGACTCTAATTAGAGCTGCAGGAACCATAATGAGTTGCTGTTGGGCGAGGGGCTCTGTGCAGATGAATTCTGATTTCAACCTTAAAGAGTTCCGAGTGCGGCTTTAAGTTTGTTTCTTTTGCTAGGCTTATTATTCGGCATGACTGCTCGCAAAACACGGCAAATGATTAACCGACATGCCGCATTGCACATACGCCGCGTTGCCGCAGCTACAACCGGAGCACGCAAATGTATTAAATTATTTCTGCTATATGATTTATCTAACACGTAATACAGCCGCAAGACGCACAGTGTCTCGTTTTAGCAGAATATGTTGCAGGGAATAGTCGATTTTGAGATTAAATTGGAATGTGGGCTGAGATTGTTTTTTTACAGACTAAATCTTTTATAAAAGTCATCGAAGGTGCCTCTTTACCCTTAAAATCAATCGTGCATCTAAGCGCGTTTGTCATCCGTTAAATGTTATTTGTGCAGTGAATTGAATTTTAGAACTCAACAAAACAAGCCAACCCTTATTTTTATTCAGTTGTAAATAGGTCCCTTTGCCGAGTTTCTGTACCCATATCCTTACAAAAAATTAACATATGCCTCTCTCTGTTGGTAAGCGTGAATGCAAACATCGATTTTATCCATTTTCTTGAAAAAATCCACTGTGCTGAAAGAAAAGTAATACGTTCCTGGCCCCAACACATAATATCTGACTTTGTCTTTAGCGGTGGTTCACAGCGGGAACCCCAAGATATCCGCTGTTAGAAAGAGGCTGCGGGGGGCAAAGACTTCTTCTGCTTGTGTCCTGACAGCTGAAATTGCCTGACTCCCGGCCTTTATCTAACACATACCTTACTCGGCTCGTACAGCAATCCTAAATCATAAATAAATGTTTTTACCTCAATACACGCCTTATGGCTGCCGCAGATGCGTTTTACAGTCGCACCACCGAATTATGACCAATTTAAAGAGTGAGATGCGAGAGTCGCAACGGGAAATTAACGATATAAAAAATTCAATTTAATTTATTGAGGTCAATCGACGACATTGAGGTTTTCTAACTCGGGGCGTGTTTGGTCAGTCAAGTTTAATCATTTCTCTTATTGACGGCCCGATGATGCCTATTGCCTGCCAGGGATCCCCTGGGACCGCCTCTTAGAGGATGTCGGACTAAACGGAAACTTTAGCTTTTGCACTTTCGCTTATGGAGGAATCGCATTCAAAAGTTGACCGTAGCAAAAAGTTTCCTTATTTAGAGCAAGGAAGACCGATGTATACTTTGTTGTTGCCAGCAGCTATTTGACGTTGTTTGGACAGTTTTTTTAGTGGCATGAATAATTGACTCGCGGAGTGAAGTTCCAAGGGACCGGATGATTCAGTAGAGAATGAGGGAAGACTATCAAACTCCGACCAAAATAGCTTTTTTTTCCCTTTTGAATGGAGGCCGTCTTTCAAGTTAAACTCGGCAACAAAGGAAGCATGAAATCATAAAAAGTCAAGACCCAACGATTACATGTGCTTGGCTATGTGTGAAATTTTATTTATTTCCATTCCTTTCATCAACACATTTGTGGAGACTATTAGGCCAGGCCCGAAACTCCATTCGCCAGCAATTACCCCTGCCCTCTGCACTGAGAGAAATGGGAGGCCATTCCGGCTTGGGGTCAAAGAGCGGTGGCAAGGGTCGGAGGTCCTTAATGAGAGGCCTCCGGGTCAAAGCCGTTTGTGGGGCAAACATGTGTTTCTACACATTACATACAACGTTTCAGCTCAGGCCGGAACGCAATGAATAGCCCCGCCATTAATTCTTCCCTCTAGTTGAAATGCAGCATCAAACAACAAACAACTAACTGATTTATTGTCGCGTTTGGCCGGCCGTGGAGTAGTTCGACTCAGTTAGGCTCCTGGGAATGCACTTTCAAGAAGCCCGCTTGATTAGATTTTCAAGAATTGTCTCACGAGGTGGAACTCGGTGGAATTTCATTTGGCAAATGGGGAGACACGCACTCGTAGGCCACAATCAAAATAAATAAATAACGAAAACGAAAACGGAATCAATACCAGTCAGCCAAATGGCACCGATAGCTGGGGCAATCTAGTGCCAAATTGAAATTGAAACAACACAGGGCCAACAAGGCCCATCAGCACCCTCGCAAGCTGACGGCAGCCCAGATAAACCCGCTTAGAGCGCGGCTCTGTCCCGCCCAAGAGGAACTCGCTCCGTCAGTCTTGGCTGGGCACCAGGCTCAGCCAGCTTTCTTTCGGGGGATAAACGCATTTGATTGCGACTGGAAAGTATTCGCTTCTGCACGAATGGCTTTGTATTAGTTTGCGTCGGGGAGCAGATTGCGGGTGGCGGACGGCCGATTGGGGATGGGGGATGGGGCATGGCGGGTCCGGAAATGGCGACCGGGCTCCGAGTGAGCGTGAGAGATAATCGCAGCCGTCGGGGAAGAAGGAAGGCCACAAATAATTGGATGTTCGAAGGACCTTGATGCCAGAGACTCGGTCGGGGTTATAATTCGAAATTTATGGTCATGGGTGCTGTAAACTCGTGTTAAATGCAAGCTTGGTCGGCGATTGCATGTAAACGAGATTCTTTATTATGCAGATATGTACACTATCCCTACGCACTACACACGACCTCAGCTGCTGTTGGATCATAAATTCCCTCTGCACACCCCGATGCACACGCTGCGTATGCGTAATATTTATGCTCTGCGTAGGTAATCGGTTATGTTGCATTCGCCTGTCCAGATAAGCCGCAGATTCTGCTTTATGCACGGGCAAATGCACAACGATTAAAGCTGTTCCCGCCGCTGTTACATCGAATTAGCCCGAACTGACGAAACGCCTCTCCCTTTCTTTCTTCCGCTTTTAGCTTCCGGCGCCAACTGGCAAAAGTCATGCTGCAGAAGCAGCCGGGCAACCGCCCCAGCGAACTCAGTGGTCACGGCCGAACACAATGTGCGAAATAAAACACGGACCTGTGGCAGCACCAGCAGCAACCTCATCGGCATAAGCACGGAGAGCCCGACCAGGACCTGCGGCTATCGGACGGCGGACAGGACAAGGACGGCGGAAGGAGGCAGACCCTCGGAAACGGAAGTGGCCGGAGAGAGGCCATAAAACGGCACGCGTAGCACAGCATTGAGACATCTACCCCAACATGCACGCGGCCCTAATGGACGTGGGCCAGACGCTGGCTGGCGGGAGCAGCGCCAACGACACCGGGCTCCTGGCAACGGGAGGGGAGCAGGAGCAGGAGCAGGGTCCCGGGCTGGGGCTGGGGATGGGGATGGGAATGGAGATGGGGCAGCACAACGCCAGCGCCGACGGCGGAATGGTGCCCTATGTGCCCGTTCTGGACCGCCCGGAGACGTACATTGTCACCGTGCTGTACACGCTCATCTTCATCGTGGGCGTTTTGGGCAACGGCACGCTGGTCATCATCTTCTTTCGGCACCGCTCCATGCGCAACATACCCAACACGTAAGTGGATACATCGCTCCGTCGGGGTTCCCCGCGGGGGGCATTACAGCACTTGGGTCGAGGACCGGGGACGAGGGCTCGGCGAATAATATTTATTGACGGGCTTCCGCTTTGATACGGTCTGCTTCTCCGGGGACCGCCCCTCCGGGCCCATAAATAATAATGCCTTTATATGGCCGCACATTTGGACCCAAAATGAGCTCGTCACTCCGCGAAAAATGGCTTGAATTGCTACTCAAAATTCATGGGCTGTCTTATGGGTTGCATTTGATTTTATTGTCAGAGCAAAAGTGGCATCCTGCCCGTCCGGCCAATGAGTAAATTAAAAAGTGCCTTTCGACTTAAGCGAAGCAAACGTCAAAAACGATGTCAAGCCATCTGTTGTCTGCGATTCCCCAGTATAAAGTGGCACCGTCTGCAAACAAAACCCGAGCGTAGTTCTTCAAAATTAAATTGTTGCTCGAATTTATTCGCTTTTATGGTGCTTGCCCATGATCGCTGTTTGACCTAAGGCAGGCGAACTCCTCCATCTTGACTGCCAAGTTTTTGTCCTTGTCCTGCTAGATACACATTCAAACACTTTCGAACTGTGACGGCGTATTCGCAATGCGTGTCTAACAAATCCGACTTCGAATCGAGGCAAAAAGTCTCCAAGCTGTTTAAAAACCAAACTTTTCCCAACTACGAGAACTACGGAGCGGACTCAGACTAACATCTGGCGGCGTGGCTTGGTGGGGAGGCCGTCTGCTATGCAAATGTTTATTAACTTTTCAAAGTTGTGCAGTCTTGTAACTGGCGAAGTACAAATAATTCAAATGTAGATTCAATCAAAAGTTTCTGGCCCAAGATGCCGGCGTGAGCAGGAGTTGGGCGGGATCTATCTGGCCAAGTTCGGCTGCCGTTAAACTGAAACTCTCGTTTGGGTCATTCTTGCCGCTTTCGGACGACCGGGAGCTGCAGGTGGTCATAATTTCGCCATGATTGCCCGCAAATTGCCACCTTGTGCGCTTTCTGCTGAACTGGCTGATTGCAGTGGGGCAGTAGTTGTAGCCGTAATTGTGATTGCCAATGTAATCGTCCTGCCATTGATGGCCAAGTTAGACTTGGCCATCGCTCGCCGACTTTGTCGCGACTGCTAGTCTAGACACGATGGCTGGGAACGTGTCAGGTTGGAATTCATGTCACATGCAATCAGCTGAATCCAGCAGCTCTGATGGTTCCCCCACCCAGAAGCTCTTTTCCTTTCTGGTTCACCGGAGGTCGTTGGTGTCAATGTCAAGCCGATTTGCCGACGCAAAACGCTCTCAATCGCCCCTTCACTTTGCTCTAAAGAGCAGTCACTCAGAAATGGGTTGAGAGGGCGCCGGGACCCTCGTTTTGCCTTTTCAATCGCCATTGGCAACAACAAAGGCATTCCGGCCAAACAGGATCTCTTTCCGATTGAGCGGGCACCAAATCAGTCCGGGATTGGACCGACTCGTAACCCACTTCCGACTCCACATACTTGCAGCTACATCCTGTCGCTGGCGCTGGCCGATCTGCTGGTCATCCTGGTGTGCGTGCCCGTGGCCACGATTGTCTACACGCAGGAGAGCTGGCCCTTCGAGCGGAACATGTGCCGCATCAGCGAGTTCTTCAAGGACATCTCCATCGGGGTGTCCGTTTTCACACTGACAGCCCTATCCGGCGAGCGGTACTGCGCCATCGTGAACCCCCTGCGGAAGCTTCAGGTGAGTGTGTGCAACGGGGATCCCGCTCGGGACAGTACTAATGCTCTCCTACCGCAGACCAAGCCGCTCACCGTCTTCACGGCGGTGATCATCTGGATCCTGGCCATCCTGCTGGGCATGCCCTCGTTCCTGGTCTCCGACATCAAGTCCTACCCCGTGCTAACCGCCAAGGGAAACATGACCATCGAAGTGTGCTCCCCGTTCCGCGATCCAGAGTATGCGAAGTAAGTGGCGCACAGGATGCGCTGGCCATTCAAAGTAGTTGTTCCGATTTTATGAGAAGTATAAGGTCCTACCTAACCGCTGGCTCTTCAAGGAACCGTCAGATGGTATTAATCATTAACGCACCCACCCGCAATCTGCCTTCCGCCATCTGATGCAGATGTTTTCACCTGCTGTCCTCCACCCTCCTAGCCCACCCTTTCAGCTCCGGCCGATGCGAGACTCCTTATTGACGTGCTTAAGCCACAAGCCCCGCAAGTTGAACTTAATTCCTTTTCCCATCAATGTTGCTGCTGGGCGCAAGCTGGAAATCCTTTCGTGTGGCTTGCGTCAGCTGTTGCCACATAATCTGCCTGTGATGTAATTTACACAGATCCTGCGAAAGGACGGCGGTGGTCGCCCCTCAACTGGTCGCTAATTTTTCATTTAAGGCATGCCGACACGCCGTTTTTTCATAGCACTTGGTGGCATGTGTTTCGACCACATCGAGACCATCAAAATGTGGAGGAAATGGGACTCGGAGGCTGTAAGTCAAGGGTCCCCTTCTTTGCTTTAATGGTCATCCTTCGCAGGGACGCAATTTAATATCGCCCGCTCGGGCTGTTTTAATAGTCCGGAAAGTCGCTTAAATATTCATGGAAAATCAAAAAATCCTCTTACTTTGAGCGAAATTAAAAGTAGGTCCCAAAGTTAGCGACCAGCCTGTCCCCATGACTACTTTCTGATTGGTATTCCAGTCGAAAAGTGGCCAAGCTCTAATAGAAATCTGTTCTGGTTCCGGGTGACCCTCTTTCAGGTGCATGGTGGCGGCCAAGGCTTTCATCTACTACCTGCTGCCGCTGTCCATCATCGGAGCCCTCTACATCATGATGGCCAAGCGGCTCCACATGAGTGCCCGCAACATGCCCGGCGAGCAGCAGTCCATGCAGAGTCGCACCCAAGCCCGCGCCCGTCGTCATGTGGCCCGGATGGTGGTGGCCTTCGTGGTGGGTAAGTCCGCACTCCGCATCCCGAATCCCGCATTCCGCCTCCCTTTGCCCCACGGACAGTCTAATTGGCTTCGGACTGTCCTTGCAGTGTTCTTCATTTGCTTCTTCCCGTACCACGTGTTCGAGCTGTGGTACCACTTCTATCCCACGGCGGAGGAAGACTTCGACGATTTCTGGAACGTGCTGCGCATCGTGGGATTCTGCACGAGGTGAGTGGGGCTCAGTTAAGCGCTCTCAGCAGTTTTCGGGGGCCCTTCTCCGCCACTAACACTCTTCAGAGGGACATTTTTTTTGATTTCCTGCTTGCACTTGCCACCCAAGCATTCCTCGAGGGGAAGAAAATTTATGGCCTTCCGGTGGCACAGAGTTGCTGATGGAGAACAGAGGATGCATATGTGAATGTTATTCGGTGTCTTTCTTTAAAGTTTCGCTGCACTCATTTTCGCAGCATTGCCCTTGCCGCCGGCACTTGCCGTAATTTTAATTGAAACAGATTATGTATGCACATCCCGCTCCCCATCCGCTTACCAGTACATTCATTTCGGCTGACAGCAATACCCCTCTGCACTGCGATCCAATTTGGGCGTCACTTAGCGCAGTAAAACTCTGAAAATAATGTGTCAGCAATTTGGTGGCTTAATTCGCGCCCAGCGGCGGTACTAAAAGCAATTTGCATTCTGCGCAAGTGGGTGGAAATAAAGCCCAATCTAGTGTCACAAACAGTGCAGATATCTGAGGAATGGTCTTAATATACTTTTGTTGGGCAGCGATTAAGTTCGGATGTAGAATATCAATGACTCTGTGAACAGCAGAAGCTGGGAATACTTATGTTTAGCTAGAGAGTGAAAGCTTTAAAAAGGGTATACACATTTTATTCAAAAAACTAAACTTGCCATTTGTGATCCCATAAAACACAAAATTTTGGCCAGCTTCATAATATTATAGGTATTTTAATCCATGTTCGCAAGTTCGTTTCCGAATGCTGTCAAAATTTAAAGCTAGTCGTCCAGAGATTTCGAATATAGTAATTTAAGGCAACTAAAGCTTGAGAGGGCACTGATAAAAAACATTTATAAAATGAATGTTACAGCAAAAATCGTAACAAGAGTAAAATGCGGCTGTTGGGGGCGCACTTAGAGCCCGTTTCCGGCCAAATTGCGCACCGTTGATTGGCTCTAACCTGGCCGTGCCATTTCAATTTGCAGCTTCCTCAACTCGTGCGTCAACCCCGTGGCCCTCTACTGCGTGTCCGGGGTGTTCCGGCAGCACTTTAATCGCTACCTTTGCTGCATCTGCGTCAAGCGGCAGCCGCACCTGCGGCAGCACTCCACGGCCACGGGAATGATGGACAACACCAGCGTGATGTCGATGCGCCGCTCCACCTACGTGGGAGTGGGCGGTGGAAACCTGCGGGCCTCCCTGCACCGGAACAGCAATCACGGAGTGGGCGCCGCAGGGGGAGGGCCTGGTCGGGGGGCAGCTTCCACCGGCAGGACTCGATGCCCCTGCAACACGGAAACGGGCACGGAGCCGTCGCCTCCGCGGCTGGCTGCGGATCCGGCGGACGAGCGGCGGCCGGGGGCGAGAAGAGGTGAGGCACGCTCATTGTGGAGCTGCTGGAGGAGGAGGAGGTGGTGGTTTCCTTGCAGGCCGACGAGCAGCTCTGAGCGGAGACAATGGGCCCGTGATCTCACTCTGTGCTTGCACCACCCGCACGTAGCACGCTGCACCACGCACTCTGCACCCGACACTTCTCCCCTGACCCGCTGGCACTTGCCAGTCAGTTTGTTTATTGACGCGGGCCGGTCTAATTTGGAATCGCATCCACGCCGAGTCCGATTGGCGGAGCGGATGTGGAGGCCACCCCAGGCCAATGCTTCGATGAGGGTGTACTTCGACCCGAGGATTGCCTGGGCGAAAAGGGGGTGGACAGCATTTGCATTCTATTGAACCCAGTGCCATTGTATATATACTACATAGTACGCTACAGACAAACTTTTGGCATTAATACAAATTTTATGTAATGTTATCTTGTGTCGTACCCTGCCGTATTTTGTGTGTTAATTAAGTAAGCCACCTAGCCCACTAAACGTAACTCGTTATTACCTACCCCAATGCAATAAAATGGTATTCTATAAGCCACTGACTCAAAAAAGCAAAACATGGCAACACAACCCCCACTAATTATCGTATACAGAAATGCATATATCAATAGGCTTAACGGATTTTAGCATACGATTACTGTAAATAAATGAATTCCATAAATGTTAAGAGCAAACATGTTGTCCAGAATGCGGTGCAGTTTCGCAACCAGAAGGTTTTAAGGCTGGCGGAACATAGAACACCAGATACGCAGGTATGACTCTGTACATACGCTTTTTCGGGCCAATAAGTGTACTTTTTACTCTAATTACCGGATTCTATTGACCCAATATTTTTTACTGAATGATTCCAGCATTATTAATCATTACGAGAACGACCGTTTGCGTTACTAATCGATGGAAGTTAGCAGGAGAAGGAAGCCCCCCAAAAAAGGGTCAGCCACATGGAAAACGTATATCATAGCCGACGGATAAGTGCGCTTTAACACTGTGCTGCTATTTGCTGTTTAAATTGTGAAACGAAATGCAAATAAATCGAAGTTTTATGTAAAATAGGCTTATCTTTCAAAGCTCAAATCGACATGTGCCAATCAAAATAGAACAAATTTGTTGGCGTTGGCACAAACAGAAAACCTTGTAGGTGAATATGTATTTTCCCTTCAATTTTAGGATAGACCGAAATAATTTCAATTATTGCAAAGGGTATTTTACGTCATTTTTTGGCTGTCAGTCAATATTTAGGAGCTGTATGCCGATATGCCGTAACCAAAAGCCCCAACTGGTTTAGCAAGTAAAGCCTTCCTTTTAATGGCACATTTATCTAAGAAGAAAAGCAGACCGCTTCGGCAACTTGATACAAGTTAGGCAAAAGGTAGCTGGCATTGGGCTTGAATCCAGAAAGTTAAAAGCGAATTTTAAAATAAAATTTGTGGCCCTTTAACAGGTACACTAGACACATTGGCAGCGAACTCAAACGTGAAAAAATTAAAAACTTTAAACATTAATCATCTTTGCTTTTTGCGCTTTGAGAAAATTGGAAATTTTTTTGCAATGTGAAAACTGGTGCCTGGCTTATTGACCCAATTTGAAAACAAGGGGCGTTGCGGATAACAACCTTTACTTGTATCGTTAGTCCAATTTATTTGGGAACATTGGTCGAATCACCCTTATCATGCCTAAATCGTAAAATTGCTTTGAAGTTTTGGTCCAATGGAGCAACTACTGCTGCACCAACTCCCTTTGCACTGACCCACCGGACTCTCCCCCACACATTTAAAGCAATTTGCTTATTTAGACAAAGGAAACCAGCACAACGAGACCAGAAAAGACAATAAATACAATCTGGCCCCAAACACACACAAAATTTCATTATGGAATGCCAATCAGAAGGTCACAGGCCACAGGCGCCGGAGTCGGTGTATGTAAAGTGGGCGAGCACGGCGTGTATTATCTGTGGACTGTCGCCCCCCGACAAATTTCGAGTCCATAGTCGTTGGCATCCAATAAATGGGGGGTTCAAAAAGTCCAATCTGACCCCTTGTGGGTGAGGAGAGCGAAGGTGGCTGTCCATCCGCCTGTCCGGCAGGTGATCGACCTAGCGACCCCTCTAAATCACAGATGAAAGGGCCGAGAGGTGATTCCGGACCTGGACCGTCAAGCAATACCAAATGGGGGGTGTTGTATGTCCACAGCCTGCTCTGTCAAAGGTAATGCTTCTGCCACCGGCTTTCCCCACAAATGCGACGCCGAATTGCTGGTCACTTGGCTCCGATTTTGAACTGCGATGTTCACCGCACAATTAGCTAATTATGCTCTGCACGGCATTAAGTCTGGGGCTTCCAGGAGTTGAGGAGGCCAAAGCTGGTTGGGCCAGTTTAGTTGAAAGTCTACGACCACCGAAAGACCTAAACTCTTGAGCTAGTGTAACGGTAGCTAGTGGAACGGTAAGTGGAATAAGCTCGTAAAGCACTAATGCGGCCTTTCCTGGGAAGATATATTCAGGCGAACACGCCATTTGCTCGCCCCCGTTTTAATGGTATCTTGAAAGTGGTAGCTAGGACACCTTATTATATCCACGTGTTGAACCAACAAATTTGCTTTAAGGGCTGCCGATATGGGTTGTCCTAAATTGCGTATGCAAATGAGGACAGGTTAGGTGTTTTCAAGATATTCATGTGATGTGCCAGCACTGGTAACGAGATTATCAAGTGCAGAATGGTTCCAATTCTACCATAGACCTTACACACAAGTGGTTCTAAGTGATTTATCGACCGGGCCGAAGGAGCAAATCCTTTATGAGATCGACTACACGAATATAACTAACAATTAGTGGCCTCTCCACCTTCTGTGGGGTTATCCTTTATGTGTTCACGCATTCATAAGTCCTCATTATGTTGAGGCAGAGACAGCTGCTTATTCCAACGTGGCTGTTACATTCCCTTTTATATTGGGTTAACACGCAGGCTGCTCCTCCGGTCAGTCTGCGAACGGCTGAGCCGTGTCTAATATACACTGGCCAGTGGTGTAATGCTTTGTCCTCCAGCGCTTATGGCTCTGCAAATGCCTCTATAAAATTGGCTACAGCCAAGTCCATGAAAAACGAAATAGGGTCATGTTGTCTTAAATCCCCTATATAAAAAATGTTTGAGTTTTCAATCGTCTTACTCGCATATGCTTATTCATTAAAACCAAATAAATATTTTAAATACAATTATACCAAGAGCGTTATAATTTGACTTTAGACGCCTGAATTACATGTTCAGCGACGGTGTCAGAGTTTGGCTAGACATTAAACTAATTAATAAGAAAAGGGCATTTTCCTTTCGGCCTGCTTTGAGCTCGCCTTCCATTCGCCTTGTTAATTGCAAAGCCCTGCTGTTCAATCCAGAAAAATGAAAGGAAGAAGGAAGCCGAAGCCAGAGCAGATGTCTCAGACAGATGGAAAGGCCAGGTCCTCAGACTTGTCCGGTTATGTTCCACTGCCGACTTGTGTTTTGATTGCGGCTAAATTCTTATTTACATTCCGGTCTGTTTATGTCTACAGGCCAGAAAGTTGTTTCCGGCTTTGGTTGTTTGATGGTCTATATTTTTGGGGGATCTAATGAATTGCTCAACTAACGTTTCGGCTGTTAAATTTGCCAGATGGAAGCTTAAACAGAAAACATCATGAATATTTTCTCCATTCACCGAACCATTTATCATGGCAATTATGTAATGAATTTTAGATGAACCAGGCTGCGTTTTTTCTCGCCAGTGTACACTTTCAAGTTTATTAAATTTCACTGGCAAGTATTTAATTTCGTTTGTGTGAATTCACGTTGCCATTAAATTGGAATCAATAGAAATCGTTTGTCAAGGGAAGGATGGAAACTGAATTTTTTAGAGCCTGGCTAAAAGCGTAAAGCGTAGGAAGCAGTGGAATTGTGAAAACGAGAGGGCTTGAATGGGGTAAGTTGATGGTTGATGGTTGACATGTGAGGCCAATGCCTATCTTGTCTGCTTTAGCTTTCTGTGGTTGTACTTCAATTCCAGAGATCTGAGATACTTTGAATCGATTTCTTCTGATACAAGTGTTCATTTATAATAATAGTACATACTTTAAGACCCGGTAAGGCCCTTTTAGAATGTCGCCTCATAAAGCAAAGACTCCTCACCTCGGGGGAATTTCATCAGCAGCGGCATCGAATCACAACCTTTTCTGCCCCATGTTTTTTTCTCTCCCATTTTGGTAAGCAAATCGGAGGTGGCGTTCGCGTAATAGGCTTATGCGCTGCCTAAAGCCGGATTTAATGCACACGCACTTTATTTAATGACAGTTTCAAGCAAAAAAAAAAAAAACGCTTAGAGGGAATCCAGGAAGAACAGCTGGGTCAAGATGGTCGAAGGTATTCCCCGGAAGCATATATGCAAATGGGCTTCCCTAGGGTTACCTCGGAGGTAAATCAGTTCCTACTTGTAAAAATGATGATTCGCCATTTGATTAAAACACAGGTCACAAATGATCGTGTAAGACATGGTCTTTACAACAAAAATGGATTGTATAACATTGGGACCTTAAATATGTGAGGTTTTTTCCTGTGTTCGTGTAAGTAAAAAGAAGTCTTGCGAACAGTGCCCTCGCCACCTGCCTCGTGCGTCATCGGAAATCAAATGAAAAGTAATTATTCAAGAAGGGTCCCCGTTCCAATGGGCTGTCGCCCTGTTCGGCATTAATGGGATTTGCTGCAAAACTTCCAAGCTGATTTCAGGCACCCAGAGCCACTCTTGGGGAGAGAGGCGGAGCAATGCCCGGAAAGAGCCCATACCGGAGGCGCCTGAATAAGAGGCTTTTTGAAGTGAAACTTCTTTAGGCGCGTTATGGATTTTCGGGGACGGAGTAAAACCGATTCATGACCGTCACGAAAATTACCGTCACGAAAATTGCCGTCACGAAAAAGCGAGGATCCCCATCCCTTTCTAACCGCTGACGAACGATGTCTCTATCCTCCTCTATCCTTTCTCGCTCTCAGCGCGCTCGCACAAAGTTGCAGTTGAAAAAGGGGTGAGAGGTGTGAATGTCAAAAGGAATTCAAATCGAACAGGTTGCATACAGATATTAA